TGCAAGTCATGAAGTCTTTTTGGTATAATGTAATCATATAACTTACATAGTTATTGGTGAAGTATGTTTTAAAATTCTTAATTATAATAAAATAAATAAGACCTTCAAGTTTAATTGTCCATTTGAAAATATTTGTTATGTTTCTCTCTCTAAAAATTCCAATTAAAAAGGTGTGTCAAGCTGGGCACAGTGGCTCACACTTGTAATCCTAGCACTTTAGGAGGCTGAGATGGCAGCATCGCTTGCGGCCAGGAGTTCAAGACTGGCCTGAGCAAGAGCGAGGCCTTGTTTCTACAAAAAATAGAAAAATTAGCCAGGCGTGGTGGTGCATGCATGTAGTCCCATCTACTTGGGAGGCTGAGACAGGAGGAATGCTGGAGCCAAAAGAGTTGGAGGTTGCAGTGAGCTATGACGATACCACTGCACTCTAGCCCAGGTGACAGAGCAAGACCCTGTCTCCAAAAAAAAAATTGTGTTAATTACTTATTAAGAAAATTACTTATTAAGAAAATGAATTTTTGAAAATTCATTGAACAACATTTAGTTTTGACACACCTAAAAAGACTTTGACAATAATGTGCACAGCATGGAAAATGTCTGTAATTTCTTAATTCAATTTTATCTTTTCCAGTTTGCATACTTTCAAATTTATAAACTGTTTGTTTATGTAGGGGTTTTTGGTATCTTTTATCATAATTAAAAAACTTATAGTTTGTATGTGGCCTGTACTTAGATACATAATATAAAAGAGAACAAAACTTATCCTGATTTATTTTAAAAAATCAATTTAATATCTTTTTTCCTCCTTTATTATCTTTTAAATATAATATTAGGTACACACAAAGGAATGTGTAACATATATGTAAGTATTGAAGTAAAACCACATAATGAATACCATTGACTATTTACTAGGAAGTTGGTCATCAACTTATTTTGCCTTTTAAAGTTATTTCATCAGGTGATCTGTCTTTTCATTTTGTATACTTTTCTGACCTTCTCATTTTCTTTGGTGTTTTACAGCTTCCTTTTTTTTTTTTTGTCTTTTTATTGTATGTTTATTTTAATTTTCCAGTTGGAGGTTCACTGAACCTCTAAGATTTTAGATTTGTTATCTTCTAACACTTCTGTAAAATTTTTAGCCATTTTCTTTTTAATTATATTGTCTCTTCCCCATTCTCTAGTATCTCCCTTTGGAATTCAGTAGGACATATGTTAGGTTTTATTTCTTGGACCTCGATGTCTCTTAACTTCATTTTAATAGTTTTCATTCATTTTTTTAATCCAGGGTAGCATTTTAAATTATCTTCTTATATATCTGCCATTTAACTAATTCTCTCTTCAGCTGCATCTCATCTTCTCTTTAACCTGCATAATGAGTTTTTTACTTCAACAATTTGTCATTTCTGTAATTTTTATTTTTCTTTAAAATCTGTCTGCTCTTTGCTAATATTTTCTCATTATTGATTCATCTTCATATTTCCATGTTTTTTAAACATTTTACACATAGCTGTTTTATATCCTGTCTTCTAATACCTCCGGTGCTTGAGAGTCTAAATTAGTTGTTTGTTAATACTTCTGACTCTCACTCACAGTGGCTTGCTTTCTATAGCAGTTGCTGATTTTTTTGTGTGTGGGAAACATCAACTGATCATAATTTGTGGCTGTTACATGTTAATGAATTAGAGATTTTTTCAAGGAGAAAATTTTATTCTGCTTTTTGCTAGTGTTTGAGGATTCATCCTCACAAGAAAATCTAAGACTCATCTACTTGTCTTTTCTGCTGTCCCAAGTTTCAGAATTGCAGTTATATTCTCCTTCAGGGCAACAGAACTCCTTTATTAATATTCGCTTTTCTAGTGGTAACTAACTAGTTTCAAATCTTTAATTATTTTGGTATTTCCTTCCATATTTTTAAATAACATAGAGTTTCTTGGTATTTCTTGATTGTTAATTTTAGAGAATTATTTATTGAGTTTTTACTGTGGAAAATGATGATTGGCCATCTTTCACCCTCTCCGGCCTTCATCACATGTATTTCTTGTATGCCCATATTTCCTGTATTGTTGTATCATAAATTTGATTGATTGTTTCATTTATTTTTTCACAATTTACATTACATTGCATTCATGGCAAAGTCATGTTATATCCTATGATTAGGTATCCTTTCCTTTATAACATTTGTTTTCCCTTTATTTAATAGTTGTGTTTTGTTGTTATTAAGTTTTCCATGTACCTGTCCCCAGTTCACTGTTGTAATTCTGGGGATTCTCATCACTTTTCTACTGTGTTGGATCCTTTGTCTTCTGGATCCAAATGTTGTCTTTCATAATGTAGGTTTTGCTCTGTCACCCAGGCTGGAGTGCAGTGGCGTGATCATAGCTCACTGCAGCCTCAAACTCGAGGGTTCAAATGATCCTCCTGCCTTAGTCTACTGAGTAGATAGGACTACAGGCATGCACCACCATGCCTGGCTAATTTTTTAATTTTTTTTTTTTTAGAGTCAGGGTCTCATTATGTTGCCCAAGCTGATCTCGAACTTCTGACCTCACGCCATCCTCCCACCTCAGCTTCCCAAACTGCTGGGATTATAGGTGTGAGCCACTGCGCCTGGCCAAGAATACATATTATATGTGATATTTATGTGATATCAGTTATAAAACATATTATTTATATTACAGTGGGCTTATTTGACAGAAAGTAATTCAAATCTAACTGTAATTTCAGACCTGTATATACATTTTTAGAAAGATCTTTTAACCCTTAAGATCAGAATTATATATTCTTGAATTTTATTAAATCTTTTAAATTTTCTAAATCTTGTTCAATTCATTGCTTTAAAATCAAAAAGTCTTAATAAACAGTTTTCATATTTGGAGGCAAATTCTCTTTCCCAGATAACAACATTTTGGAGAGATAAGTTGTTTTAAAATAAGAATACAATATAAATTAAATATTGCTGCATATACTGTAATATTTTATTTTTGTTTGTGGAAATGATAGTCTCTACTGTAATAGAGGTACTAAATTGAAAATTGGATATCATTTTGGGAAAGTCCTATTTATTTTTCTTAACGTAATGTAGCATTTTTATGCCTTTATTCTGTATACAAGTGATACTTGAGAGAAAGAAAAATTTATGTCCTGATGAGAAATTTGAAATCTATGAATGTAAAAAATATATTAAATATATTAAATTGGATTTCCATTTGACTTCAATTAAAAATCCCACTTTGCAATAGTATTGTATTTAGTTTCTCCCTATCTTTCTGATACGTCATGTACTTGAGTACATTATTGCTCAGCAGCACATGTTTTTGTCCGTGGAAGGGGGCATTGCTTATCTTGTCTTAGCATGCTACCCAGGGAACTATACTTATTCTGGGCCTCTGGGAGAAGTATCACTACAAAGTGAAACGAGTACAAGTGGAAGATTTTGCTTATTTGAAAATTCTGTGCAAAGCTTTGAAAAAAGGAGTAATCTCTTTTCCTCTTGCTTCCTCTCTTCCATCCTTTTATCTCCATCTCTGTGTAGATCATTTTTCATAAGACTCAGTAATTATACTAATTATCCGAGTTTAAATAATCTGTAACATAATAGAACAAATGAGAACCCATTTATTTGGGTTGACCCTAACCCGAGAACCCATTTATCATTTATTTTGACATTTTCTCAGCCCCTACCATGTGGCAGGTACTTTTCTAGATGCTAGGGGTACAGTTTATAACAAAACTGACAAATACTCTTTCTCTTATGTTCCATGAATTCTGGTGGAACTCAGATACATATAACCTGCACATAAATTAAGAATGGGATATTCTGTGTTAGGTTAAGTTCCATGTGAGCTACTTTTCTCAGAGAAGCATAAAAATATATTAGCTAGTAGGGTGGAATTGCAACTTGTTACACTTCAGCATGGTGTTTTATGTCATAACGTTAGCCTGCATTTCATCTAGGCAGCTTGCATGCGCGCTCGCGCTCTCTCGCTCGCGCTCGCTCTCTCTGCTTTTGAACATTAAAAGCTGTAATTTACAATGATTTATTGAATGGTTATAATAATGCTTCCTTTCAAATTGCGAATTGGTTTTATAATATAAATAAAAAGGGGAGGTAATATTCCATTCTCATGGCCAATATAGAAATCATTCTTTGCCTACAAAGTTAAGATTATTTTTTTTAAAAGATAAATACACTTTTAATGAGATATGGGACTCACTTTCCATAAAATTCTTTTAAATTGTATAATTTAGTGGTTTTTAGTATCTTCTCAAAGTTGTGCAGCCATCACCATTTTCTAATTCCAGAACATTTTCATCACTCTCAAAAGAAACCACGTATCTATTAGCAGTTTTTTCTACTCACCCTGCCCTGCCAAGGCCCTTGCAACCACTAATCTACTTTTTGTCTCTGTGCTTTGACTGTTCTGGCCATTTCACATAAGTGCAGTCATACAATATGTGATATTTTGTGACTGGCTTATTTTACTTATTAAGTGAACATTATAATGTTTGCAGGGTTCACCCATGTTGTATCATGTATCAACACTCTATTTCTTTTCATGGATGGATAATTTTCCATTGTATGGATATACCACATTTTATTTATTCATTCATCAATTCATGGACATTTTTATTCTTTTTACTTTTTGGCTACTGTGAATTACCCTCTGATATGAAAACTTGAGCACAAGGATTTTTTGTGAGCATTTGCTTTCTATTCTCTTGGCTTTTTACCTAGGAATGGAATTACTAGATCACATTGTAACTGTATGTTTTATTTTTTGAGGAAATGTCATACAGTTTTCTAAAGTGATTACACCATTTTACATTTCTGTACGTTTTACATTCCTTAACAGCAATGTTTGAGGGTTCGAATTCCTCCACATCCTTTCCAACACTTGTTGTTTGTCTTTTTTATTACAGCTATCCCACTCAGTATAAAGTGATATGAAGCTTATTATTTTTATGAGGAATTATAACAATTTAAAAATCTCATGTTTTAGGTGCTGTATTTCTTTGCAGTGTACAAGGACTAGCAGTTAATATTGACCCAATCTTATATACGTGGCTCATCTATCAGCCTCAGAAACGAACAAGCAGACATATGCAACAGGTAAGAGATTTTTATAAATTTTTATCTTAATGAATAAGTCTTTATCTCAGTTATTTAATAGGGTTATATATGTCTTTTTATTGAATCTCTTTTAAAAATGAATGTACCAAAATTCCTCTGTTCCCCATTCCACCCCTTTTAAACAATTCTACTTCTTAATTTCTGTGCAAGAAATTGCATCTCACCTTAGAGTTTCTTTGAATACTAATGAGGCTTTCTGTACAATGGTTTGTGAAGAAGATAGATTAGAGACTAATTTAGGTAGTCCTATTTTACTAGCCTATGTTCCCTCATAGTGCCTAGGCGTCTATTCTCACAGTGACTGATACATAAGAATTGCTCAGTAAATACTCACTTTTTGTTTTTGTCTCGACTTTCTTCTTTATCTTCAGGTTTATTCAACAAACATGTATTGAATACGTAATCCTGGGTTTGGGATGGTTGGTGAAAAAAGGTTGGCATATATGTTTGTTTAAAAGGGTATAAATTCCAAAGTGGGTAATTATGGTTTCTAAAATACACAAATGTAATTTTTATATGTCAGGATATTTAAATGTAATTCTGACAGTTGGTTTTATTATTCTCATTTTAAAGACAAAGAAACTGATGATTATTGAGATTTACTTACCTATAGTCACACAGTTTATAAATGGCAACACTAAGAGTTTTTGAGGCCAAATTTGTGCTATATTGAATTTTATTTTCCCATTGACTTAATTGTAATTTTGCAATTTTCTATTTGGAATAGCTTTGTATCTTTTTTCTGAAGTAACTTAAAGCAAGTTGATAGGGAAAATACACAATTTTATCATTACATAAGAATAAAAAAAATTTTAAAGTACAGTCTAAGGAGCATCTTTTAAAGGTTTTTCTTCACTTTATCCAATTTCATTTGAAACTTTTGCTATCCCTGCCTCTGTTCCATTTTTCCTTTTAATAAGTAGTTATAGAATATAAGGCAGTGTGACTAGGGCCACAGAAATAAATATCATGGGTAAGTCTATTCCTCTAAGTGTGTTTAGTGTATTTGAGAATACTAAGTAATGTGGTTGTTAGTAATTGCTGTGTTCATGTATGTCCAGGATTATGTGAAAACAAAAAAGAGAAATAGTTTTCACAATCAGGAGTGGGTATGAAAAGGAGGCATTAACAATTAAACCGGGCATCACAGGAGTAAACCAGGCAGGGAAGGTTGTTCTAGACTGAACTGTTTGAGCAAAGGCAAAGAAAATGCAAAAACATGATAGTTCCACGATGGGATCAAATATTCTTATAGAGAATGATAGAAATTGGAAACCAATTCCTATAAAATTTTATTTATAATGCTAGGTATTTGAAACTTTATTTAAGGGTAAAGAAAAACTATAGGAAACTAATGTCAATGGATTTGGATTTTAGAATGTTTACTCTAGCAGAACATAGGATGTATGACAGAGAAGTAAGACTAATGGCAGGAACAGCTGAGAAAAATTTTCATTGTAAATTCTTGATTGGAGATTTTCTAAGTAATACAGTTATTTCCAATATGTATTAGGTATCCCCGAAGGTCAAATAAGAGTGTTCTAGCAGCTTACATAAATTAGGCATTCATTTAATTGATATCAAGTACATTCAAGGATTTTGATTTTTAACTTTTATTTTATTGTAACTATTTTAAAATTGAATATACAGCTGCCATGCATTTCTTAATAGTGGGGATACATTCTGAGGAATGTGTCAGGTGATTTTATCATTGTGCAAACATCATAGAGTGTACTTACACAAACCTAGATGGTGTAGCCCACTATACACCTACGCTATATGATATGGCCTATTCCTCCTATGTTGCAAACTTGTACAGCATGTTACTTACTGAATACTGTAGGCAGTTGTAACTCAATGGTATTTGTGTATCTAAACATATCCAAACAGAAAAAGTATAGTAAAAATATGGTATTATAATCTTATGGGCCCCAATTGTATATGTGGTCCATTGTTAATTAAAACATTGTTACATAACACATGTCTTATAAATGTTTTTCTAAGTTCAAAAATAATAACTTTATTTAAAAGGTAAACAGATATCCATAATTCCACCCAGAGTTACAAATAATATTAGAGTAAATATCTTCATAGCCAAACTTTTGCAATTATCTTTATAAACTTTAGAATATATTTTTAAAAGTGTAATTATTACCTCTAGGCATATATTTGGCATTTCTGAGACATATTTTAAGATTTTTGTTATATTGCCAAATTGCTTCCAGAATTGGTACACAGTTTACATTTTCAACAGCAATCTATAACATTACTATTTTACCATAGTTCAGCAATACTCAAAAATATCCTTTTTTAAATGTCCTTAATCTACTATTTTAGTCTTTAAAGTTTTTATTCATGGAAAATTGAGGGAATTGTATAGTTCAACCATATCTCTTCATCACCCAGCTTCAATTATTATCAATTCATGACCACTCATCTTCATTTTGAAAATCTGTTTAGTGAAAAAATGCCAATATGCAGTATTGGTGAAAATGTGGAGAATGATGACTACTGTCATGAGCAAAAATTTATAAATTTGGAAATATCTAATAGAATTGAAAATGAGCAGGTCTTATAACCTCAAAATTATGCTTCTTGATTCAGGTATGCTCTTACGTGACACTCATATTCATATAAGCCTAAGGAATCCTGTACTAGCCAGTTATTCATTACGATAATCTAATTGCCATCTGTAAGCAAGTGGATAAAGTATAGAATATTCAAATGACATAATACTTATTAAATATTATATGGTAGACCTTAGTATGGATGAATCAAAATTATATTTAATGCA